GGGGAGAGGGTATGGTTTCACTTAATGACAATGTGATTCACTTAACAACTTCACTGTACTTTTCTTAACAACCCTGACAAAACAGGTCATAAAACTGGGAGCAATTCACTTAACTAGCATCTCGCTAAACGACAGAAATTCTGGTCTCAATTGTGGTTGTAAGTCAAGGACCACCTCTGGGCAGTCATTTTATACAATGTCACAACTCAACGGTCAGTCCTTTCACCACTGAACCCTTAATGTAACATTGAATTTTGAAGTCAATCTATTCTGTGCAGTTTTTAAGAAAACCTGGACACACGCTCACTGAAATAAAGCAGCTTAAAAACTCCTTTCTGCAGAGTTTAAGAGGTGTCATAGATATAATGTTTATTAGAAGATCTTTTTGTAAAAAAGGGGTCAGGCCCTGTTTGACAAATTGAGCATTCAACACCTAAGAGAAAAAAGATTGCGTAGTCTCATTTCAAACTCTTTTTTCCCCCGTCTTACCTTTAATTTCTTTGGTAAACTTAACCCTTTGGGAATCTGTCAGAGGTTTCTGTTGTTCTTCAATACTTTTGAAATCAAGAACTTCACATACAAATTCGATCACTGGCTGGGCCTTATAAAACGCTGTCGCAGAGACTAAAAATAAAACACAAAAAAAAATCAATAACACCAACGTGGCTTTTTATCTAGACTCTCGGATAGATCCTTCAGGTCCAATTCCGCTGTGCGCCTTCCAGGCGACTAAAGCAAGATCACCCAAATGCAGATCAAAGGAAACAACCTGAAACCTACCGTCGATGTTCAGCATCATTTTCCACAGGGAAGGCCTGACTGACTGATGGAATCCAAACCAGACTTCTCTGCCACCTCCCAGAGGATTCGAACATCCTTCGGATGCAGTAAAAAAAGATCGGCCCACTGGGGTATATCTGCCATTGAAAAAATACATATATACATATACATACCGTGTTTCTCATATAATAAGGCCGGGTCTTATTTTTTTTTGAGCCCCGAAAAAATGGCTAGGCCATCTTTTCGGGGGTGACTTAATTCCCGCCCCCTTGCATCTTCGGGCGGGCGGCGACGGCTTGGATGTTGACCTCGGCGTTGGTGGGGCACTTCGTATCGGGGTCAACGCAGGCAGCACCATATCCGAGTGTGCAACAAAAGTACTTTCTAACGGCAAGACCCCCCCACCATTCCCCCCCATTTCGCATGTTTTAATATAGGCCTTAATTTGGTGGGAGGGGCTTAATTTCATTTCATGCCTATAAAACATGCTGGGACTTCCTATTGGGGGAGGCCATATTGTTGGAGAAACAGGGTATATACATATACATATATATCTATACAGTATATACATATACATATACACATATACATACATACATTGTTACAAAAACCATTTTTCCTCTTGATTCTCAAATGCGTTATAACAGGGGTCCCCAACCGCCGGAACAAGTCTTACCGGGCCGCTGGTTGCTGGGCGCCGCCATCTTTTTTTGATAAAAAAGTGCTTCCGATGAGCTTTTCCGGGTACAAAGCTCACCGGAAGCACTTTTTCATCAAAAAAAGATGGCGGCGCCAAGCTGATGCCGGTACCGGGCCGCGGCGCCCAGCTGATGCCGGTACCGGGCCGCGGCATAAAAAAGGTTGGGGATCACTGCATTATAACACAATTCAGAGCCATATTGGCCAGTGCATAGAGTCCTTGGCTTACAACCATTGCTTTTAAAGACTGTTCAAAGGTACGACAGCACAGAACAAATGACTTAGGATCAGTCCTCATGCTTATGACCAATGCAGCATCCTCATGGTCACATGATTAAACTTTGGGTTCTTCACAACCAGCATTTTTGTACGATGGTGATCGCCAGTGGTGGTGGTGGTATTCAGCCGGTTCACACCGGTTCAAGCGAACCGGAAGCAAGGATTTGGCATGGGTCCCCAAACTGGTAGTAACTTCTGGCTGGCCACGCAACTGACCCATTTGCCCCTCCCTGCCTAATCAGTCCTTATCGTGCATGCACAACATCGCTGACTGCGTTCTTCTGTGCCCAATCACTCCTTAAGGTATTTCTTTTTTTTTTTTTCCTTCCCGACAATCAGCTGTTCCGATGATCAGCTGTGCCAGGATTCCCCTCGCTGTCTTACTGCTTCACCCAGGAGGCTTCCCCGAGGCCCAGGAAGGCAAAAAATGGAGGGAGGGGGGCACAGCCCCCTCACTCCCCGCGCTCCATTTTGTTTCCTTTCTGAACTCCAGGGAAGTTTTTTGGGAGCAAAAATGCCCCCCAGGAGGCTTCCTTGAGGCCCAGAAGACCCCAAAATGGAGCATGGGGGGTCCCTCTGTTTTGTTCTTTCCTGAGCTCCAGGAAAGCCTTCTGGGAGCAAAAACACCCCCTAGGAGGCTTCCCTGAGGTCCAGAAGGCCCCCAAAATGGGGAGGGGGGGATGCTACTGCTACAAAAAACTGCCAACCCAGTTCACGTGGCCACGCCCACCTAACCACACCCACAGAACCAGTAGTAAAAAAATTTGAATCCCACCACTGGTAATGGCCTCCCAGGATGACATGACTGCCATTTCCAACAAGCAAAGTCAATGAGGGAAATCAAATTTGCTTAACTGCTTGATTCATTAACAATGCAGTGATTTGCTTAGCGAGCGTTGCAAAAAAAAAAAAAAAAAAAGGCCATGACTCAGGGCATGATTCATTTAACAATGGCCTTGCTGAAGAACAGAAATTTGGGGCTGGACTGTGGTTGACTACTTGTATCCAGAAAAAACAATCCGTTCTCATTAAGATCTCATAATCTTTTTTAATAAGAATCAGTTTGAAGTGGTATTGTTTGGGGTATTCAAGTTTACTTCAAGCAATAAACAGCACCCCAGTCAAGGAACTGCCAAAGCAATTAAATAGTAAATAGGCTATCAAAGGAACTAACCCACCAACACTGACAGATTGGAAAATAATCCAAAGATACTGCTACTGATTAGAGGCTGATTAACATAGCCATAATTTACTTGTTGCAATGAAGCAGAAATCACAGCATATCTGCACCTGGAAAGTTCAAAAGCAGCTTTCCAAATTATCCAGGCAATGAAATCCAGCATTTGAGCTAATTCAGAAGGGGTTTGTTTCTCTTTTTTATGCTATCTTTTCTGATGCTGGTGGATGATCCAAGAATCATTGGGACCAAACACAAGAATGCTTCCGTAATCTATCAATGGTATTATGAGGCTAATATTTTCTAGGATTCCTTGATAGGCTGCTTTCTATGAGTTCACATTTTGAATATTACCAGACCCAATTAGTATCTCCCAAATTAGAACATGAACATCTCTTTTTCCTTATACTTTATATAAAGAGAGACCAAACCCTGCATCCTTCTAGCACTGAGGATATTGTTCTGACCTAGGCTTCCTTAGAAAGCATAAAACACAATCTTAATCCAGGCAAAACTTCTTTTATTTCCACGGCTGGGAATTACGTTCAGGCTTCACCAACAGGGGAATGTTTATAAACACCTCCACCTTATCACACTTGGAATGCAGCCAGAAAACGAATTGCCAGACGCAGGGCAAGGCCAAACTTGACACAGAGTCAAACAGAACTTTTCAAAGCCTGAATTGACCAGACGAACTAAATGCTTCCTGCAAAAGCTCATGTCCTGTTTGTTCCTCTTTTATGTCCTATGGGAGGGCCAATCATCTCTGAGGTGCGGCCTTATTCCTGAGTCAACCCTGCTTTCTCAATGGTTCTTGTCTTCTGGTAGCCCTGTGCATGCGCAGGCTGGGAACTGGTTCCAGACACTCCCCCGCCTCACTGCTGTCTGAGTCTGAAGGCAGCTGATGACTGCCAGCCTGCCCTGGTCCCATCCCTGCCTCCAATGCAGAGCCCTCCTCCGGGCCTTCCTCAGCCTCCAGAACTGGCCCAGGTTCCCTCCACCCCAACCTCCTGACTACTGTCTGACTCTGCTGACAACTCTGTCAGCCGCTGGCGGGCCACAACAGGTATTACCTAGTCTGGTAATGAAACATCTGCAAGGAAAACAACTGCAGAGAGCATCAAGGAATCCTGATTTCAACCTGAGCTACAAATACAGGTAGCCCTCAACTTAGGACCACAATTCTGTTCCTATGTGAAACATTAGCTAAGTGAACGTTGCCCCCTTTTACGACCTTTTGTGCCACAGTGGCTAAGCGAATCGCTTCAGTTGTTAAGTTAGTAACACGGTTGTTAGAGTGAATCTGACGTGCCCCTGGACTTTGCTTTGTCAGAAGGTCACAAAAGGAAATCCCAGGACTCCGGGACTCTGCAGCCGTCATAAATATGAACCAGTTGCCAAGCATCCGAATGTAAATCACGTGACTATGGGGATACTGCAATGGTCGTGTGAAAAATGTTCACTTTTTTTCAGTGCCGTTATAATTTTTGGAAGGTCGTTACATGAACGCTCTTAAACCGAGGACTACCTGTACTCGCTGATTTCAGTAATTCAAAGACTGCTGAAGAAGAAGAAAAACAGGGAGGGAAGGCAGGGAGCCCAACACCCAACAAGGAGCACCTTCTAGTTCCGTATTTCCAGAAATACCAAAGTGCCGAAACGGGCCGTTTTTTGGCCTCCAAAGGCTGCAGAGGCTTCCCTCAAGCCTCAGGGAGGCCGAAAAAGGCCTCCAATGGGCCGAAAATCAGCCGGGAGGCACGCACATGCGCAGTGCAGGTAAGGGGGCAAGGGGGTTGTACTCGCATGCGCGGGGGGACGGGGCGCATTGCATTGTGGTTGCGCGAACTTTCAGCACACCACAACAAGAAAGGTTCGCCATCACTGTTCTAGTTCATAATTGCCCCTGAACCTCCGTGTGGGAACCCAACTCTTACCTCATAGAGGGCAGGTGCCTCATCACCACATCAAGAGCTTGAATGGTTTCGAAAGGAACACTTGGAAGACGACCGGAGAGAGCGTCGTGCAATGCCTGAAGGCTCACAACCGACATCCACTTGATGGCTACCTTGAATATTCGATCCTTCCCTTCTCCTGGCAACGTGACCTCCAATTCCACCTGCAACATTTGGAAAGCAGTACAAGATGATTCTTTCCGCTTAAACATCCACGCCGGAAGAATGAGGGAAGAGAAGTGGATTCTCCTGCAAAGAACTGGAACCTTTTTTAGAAGGCATAAAAAGGGCTAGCTTGCTGGGGCAGCACCCCTTTTGATGAATAACCAAAAAGAAGCAACGGAAAGTGATGTCAGGCAAGATGCTTAACTGAGAAACCAAGAAGCACCAGACAAAAGTATTCGGATTGCTGAAATGCAAGTCCGGCTGGAGAAAGGAATTAGACATTAGGAACCCACAAGTGAAAAAAAAAGTCATCTCTTTCATCCACCAAGGATCACACAATGTTGGATAATGATTTTGGATCATACTTGTCTGTCCTTTAATGGCTTCCAAACCTATAGATTATTTCTTAGAAAGGCCCTTATACATTTCCCCAACCTGGTGCACTCTGATAGCCAACCAGATAGGAGAAAAATCTATCAAGGAAGACTGCTTTACAATTATGACTGCATCCATTTTAACATGTATGATGGGACGTCAAATTAAGTGATTCTCCTACTTGCTTATCTTACAATGATCTGTGTTCAACCTTCACGGAATCCTAGAATCGAAAGGGGTCATTTATAGCGATGAGGAAATGTTTACGAATCCTTTTTCACAAGCAGTACTTCGGACTATAATGTGATAAGAGTTTGACCTAATAATAGATAAAGACATTTCTGTAGGGTGCTTGATGCTCTCTGAGCTTGGTTGCTAGCACTGATGATGTTACCTAGTGGAGTCGTGAAATGTCTGCAAGAAACTAACCAAGCTCAGAGAGCAACAAGAACCCCACAGTTCAACCCCGGAGCTACAAATATTCTCTTCTAAAGAGAATGCTGTTAAATAAGCAACACTGCAAACAGCATATGATATGTCATGCCTTTAGAACAGAATAACAGAGTTGGAAGGGACCTTGGAGGTCTTCTAGTCCAACACCCTGCCTAGGCAGGAAACCCTACACCACGTCAGACAAATGGTTATCCAACATCTTCTTAAAAACTTCTAGTGTTGGAGCATTCACAACTTCTGGAGGCAAGTTGTTCCACTTAATTGTTCTGTCAGGAAATTTCTCCTTAGTTCTAAGTTGCTTCTTTTAAGAAGCACACTGAGCTTTGACCTGACGTTTCTTTGTTGGAAAAAGTTATATGAAACTTTAGGTTTAGAAAACAGGTGGCAGCTTTTGTAGCAATGGAGACTTCAGCTGAAGAATTCCTGAACTTGTTGATCAAATGATCTGGAATATGGTCCATTTCAAAGGGACTTGATTTCACACTTGATTTCATTGAGGGCCACATCAGGGTTGTGTTTGACCTTGGAGGGCCGGGTGGCCATGGCCAAAGTGAGCGTGGCCAGCTCAAAGTCACTCATGTCGGGGACACCTGTAGTGGCCCAAGTGCTTTGCCAGTGAAAACGGAGCTTGGGAGTGGCAGAGGCACCACGGGCTCGTCCTTCGCTGTTTCCAGGGTGGCCCGGCAGGCCAGATCTAAGCGCCCCGTGGGCAGGATCTGGGCCCCAGGCTTTGAGTTTGACATCCCTGTCATAGCCCCTTCCTCAAGAAGTGGCAGTCAACTTTCCTCAACACACACACACACACACACACACACACTAATATTCAGCTTAACAAGCAAATAATACGGAACAAATATACAAGTCTCCCGACCGTAAAATTATACTTGCACAAATAGAAATTAAGAGCCAAACTTAGCATTAAATACTTACTTTATCTCTCCCTATTGGAAGCGGCATTGCGGTGTAGAGATTTTTTCTCCCGTCAAATACTGGCTTGCGATCTCCAAAGATCTGGGCTTTAAAGTGCTGCACCATGTGCTCAACTATTTCTCTGGAAACAGAGAATCGTGTGAACAAAGGATCTTCCGCTATTCAGATAAAGCACTGAATATCATAATAGGTGATCAAAAGTATAATAAAACAAAGGAGCATTTAAAGGGCTGGTTGAAATCTACTCAGTTCCCCTGAGGAATTCAGGGAGTTGAAGTCCGCCAGGCTTAAAAGTTGCCAATGTTGGAGACCCCTGACCCAGAGTGTCTCATCTCCTTTTTTAATCAATGGCCCAAAGACCATAGAATCTACCCCATATTAGTTCTAGAAACCTCAATCCAAGGAGGTTGAACAGACAGAGGTAAATATATTCTCCTGAAGGAACAATAAAGGGAACCACAAATTATTCTCCTGGAAAAATTTCCAGCTTCGTCCATTTAAATGCTTCAACCATTCCCCATCTGGGGTTCGGGATCACTGCTAGCGAGGTCACAGCTGAGAAAGCAGTGCATAAAGGGATCAATATTATAAACTTCAATATTATGACAATATATTATAAACTATTATAATCTTTCTCTGGGAACATCTGAACATCTGTATTTTGATCACATGACCATGGGGATCCTGCAGCAGTCGTAAGTATTTAAAACGGCTGTAATAAATCACTTTTTTCAGTAATATTATAGCTTCAAATGGTCACTAAACGAACTGTTGTAAGTCAGAGACTACCTGTAACCGAAGCTTGAAAGTCTAAAGCATTACCCCCTCCTCTGTGCTTTTAATTTCTGTAAAACTAGGGAGGGTCCCTTCTGAGTTGTTTACTCAAATTACATTTCTGCCCAGGACTTGGATTTCTCTTTTCGGACCGTAATCTAAGATGCAGCTCTTCCTCCCGTCTTCCTCCCAAGGTTATTCTCACAGCCCATTAGAATCAGATGCATACCAACATTGAGCTCATTTAAATATCAGAATTCACAGCAGTTCGTTATCAATTCCATCACTGGCATTTTTACCTCCAAGACCTCTTAGAATGAAAGCCAACAATCTACCCCATCTCCGTCTATCCATTTTCCATTCAGAGGAACTCGGCGGAAGGCAAATCAAACGTACCTGTTCTTATATATAGTTTCGCCGAAGTCCTTTTATACAACCAGACAAATATGCCTGCTTCCTCCTGCCAGCAGGGGAAGACAGGAGAGAATAAGCAGTCCATTTAAGAGGTTTGCTACTAGCAAACTATGGAACCAACCAGAAAGCAAGACCAGGAGTGACTGAAGGAGATGAAATTTGCAAGATGTGAATATCTGCAAAACTGATTAAGTCTGAACATTGTATATAAAATACATTACCTCTAACCAGAGGTGGTATTCAGCAGGTTCTGACCAGTTCTGAAAAACCAGTAGAGGAAATTTTGAGTAGTTTGGAGAACCAGCAAATACCACCTCTGACTGGAGATTTTACAGTATCCTTCCCCTGCCACGCCCACAGAACTGGTAGTAAAAAAAACTGAATCCCACCACTGCCTCTAACCATAGGGTAGGGGAGGAAGGAAAAAAGAAAAGAAAATATTTAAGATGGTATAAGAAGATTTGGAGAAACTGATCTTATTTATAGAAGATACTTTTACATGCAAATCATTGTTTCAGGTTTCAAATTAAAATGCAGCCACCACCAATAATCCCAGGAGAAATAGCTCAGCACCAAATTACATGTTTTGAAATGCGCTTATTTTAAAGAAGCATACAAACAAAAAGATGATGTATAAAACTATGGGGAATGGGGAAATAAAAAGGATGGGACGTACCTGTTCACTCTTCTAGGACATTTCTCAGGCTTTATATCCAATTCGTAATGGTAGATGTCCATTTTGGGGATGTCCATTTCAAAGAAATTGGCTTGCAGTTTGATTGTTCTTCCCGAAGTACCGAAATCAGGTCGAGGGGGAGGTTTAAATGCATAGGCCTGCATCGGAGGTGGCAGTGATGGAGATGTTGTAAGAACTGAAAGAAAGGAAAATCCACAACCAGTGATGCAAGTCGTACCTTTCTCTCCGAATCTTCCTCCATCTTTAAAGAAAGTACCGCTGTGTCCTTAAAATAGGCATCCATCTTCTGTCACGACTTAACAATCGAACAATATCAATACACTACGCTAGGGGTCAAAAGAGGATAGAGCTACAGGTAGTCCTCGACTTACGACCACAATTGAGCCCAAAAATTTCTGTTGCTAAGCAAGACAATTGTTAAGTGAGTTTTGCCCCATTTTACGACCTTCCTTGCCACAGTTCTTAAGTGAATCGCTGCAGTCGTTAAGTAAGGAACAAGTGAATCTGGCTTCCCCATTGACTTTGCTTGTCAGAAGGTCACAAAAGGGGATCACATGACCCGGTCATAAATATGAGCCAGTTGCCAGGGATCTAAATTTTGATCACGTGACCACGGGGGATATGCTGCCATGTTGAACATATTTGCTTTTGTTTAGTAGGGGAGTAAGTTAAGCAAGCATGTCAAATCGGGGTTAGGGGAAATTTTTGCATTCAGAAATTCCAGAAAACTCAAGTAACGCTGCTTTACATGATGAGTCTTATTCCCCATCCTCAGACAGCCAAACTACGTCTTTATTAATGACTCACCCAGAGAGAATTACTAATAGTTGTATCAACAAGTTTTATTTGGAACTTAGAAATAAGTATACTTGAAAAATCCCGTCTTAGTACAATCATCACCCCTGGAAGTTCTAATGTGCTCCCTTTTCTATTCTGTCCTTAATCACAACGTTTTGGTTCAACTCAGTCAAAGAACTTTAAAAGAATCAAAGAAACATAACCGGAAGTTTCAGGTGGCTGACGTACTGCACTAATGTGCCATATACAGGGGGGTGGGGGGGTGTCATAAAATCCTGCCTGCCCCTGAGTACGAATCCAGCATCCTTAGCACATGCATGACTTTTGCCTGGCTACGAAGATCAGCAGTCAAGCCAGAATTGTGAGGACGACCAGGAAAAAGGGGCTCAGACTTCATGCAAATGCATTTCCTTCCTGCTTGAACTCTTTTTTCAAGCTTTAGAGCAAGCACTAAAAAAAAACAAAAAAACAAGATATTACTTAAAAAGATGGATTACAGATAGTTCTCGACTTCCAATCAGCAACCATTCAGAGTTACAACTGGAAAAAGCGACTTGTGACCGGTCCTTGCGGTTACGACTGTAACAGCATCCCCATAGTCATGGGGTCAAAATTTGGGCACTTAGCAACCGGCATATATTTACGACGGTTGCTGCATCCATCCCAGCATCATGTGATTGCCATTTGCGACTTTCCCAGCTGGCTACCAATAAGGACAGCAAATTCTCAGAATAACTTGGTGATTTAGTTAAGAACTGCAGCGATTCACTTAACAGTGGCAAAAAAGGGGGAGGTCATCGAACTGGGGGGTGACTCTCGTAACAACCCCCTTGCTTAGCGATGGAAATTCAGGTTTGTTGGGAGAAGAAAGAAAGGGAAAAGGTGGAGAAAAGCTACAAAGTTTTGAAATTAAATGGGAAAAAAGGAATTTTTTTTAGGGATAAAGGATAAGTATAATTTCTTCAAAGAGATTTTGCAAGGTACATAAGATGATATGGTAGTATTGTATTAGAAATAGAAAACTTAAATGGCTTAAGAGTTGATAAGAGATTAAAATGTTGAAATGTTAATAATGATTGGTTTTAAAATATAATATGAGGGGAGATTTAGAATATTGAGCTTTAATTAAAGAGTTTAATAAGATTATGGGATTGATGTTATTATAAAATTTTCATTATAGTATTTGTTTTTAATATTTAGATCTATTGTTTAACTATGTATTTAATTATTTTGGATGTATTATTCAGTTAGAATGCACCAAGCAAAATCGGATTGGGTATTCTAAAGATTAATTTGATTAATTTAGTCGGGAGATAGAAAGGCATCATACTCTGATTAGTGATTTCAGGAGAAATTTCTTTTTTTTTTATAAGGAATGAGACAAAGGTACAATAAAGAATGGACAAAAGATACAAATATAATGACTCAAATTAAGATGATTAATTAAGATAGAATTAAAAAGAGTGAAATATGGGGAGAAGTTAATATAGAAGATTTAGAATGGTAAATAAAATAAGTAATGATATGTAAGATGAGTATGAATACAGTTGAAGTCCATGAAGAAAGAAATACCTGGGTCCAAGTTACTTTCCAAAAAGATCTTTTTTTATGTTTTGTGTGTTGTGTATATATGTTTTTTTGGGGGGGGAGAATTAATGAAACCTTGCAGAAATATAGAATGAGAATAATGGTAACTAAGTCAGAAAGAAATAGATGAAATAATAATAATAAAATGGAATAAGAGTAAAGAGAAAGAAAGAGAAAATGGATAAGAGGTTTTTGTATGTTTATATGGAAATGGTTTAAAACAGAATTATAGTTTATCTGACTTGTTAAATTTATAATGGAAAAAGGTTTAAATATGTAATGGATAATGACGACTTGTGTGTTTTGAAAAAAATTAATAAAACTTGTTTAAAAAAAAAAAAAGAAAGTCTGGGGATTTTATGGAAGAAATCAATGGCGAACCACTTCCAAATACTTGCCAAGAAAACGACATGAATGTATGTGTCCATATAGACCAGAATTCCCCAACCTTGGCAACTTTTAAGGCCTGGGGGGCTTCAACTACCAAAATTCTGGGAATTGAAAGCCCCCAGACCTTAAAGCTGCCAAGGTTGGAGACTGCCAATGTGAACTGCAAGAGTCAAGACGGAGAAGATTTTTTAAAGAGGAAAATAATATATTCTTAAGATATTACCCAGGTGGGAACTATTTAAGATCTTGTGTTGGTTGGGTCTAGTTCTCTTTTTTTGGGGTGTTGAAATGGAGGAAGGGCAACTCCTCTCTTCTGCAGACTCAACCCAAATGTTTTTTTTTTCCCCTGCAGTCTCCTCTCAAGCATATTTTCTCGGGTGATGAGAAAAAGGCTAGAATCACAATTTCTTCAACTTAACTGCACAACATTTTTGCAGCGCATCCAAGGCATATGCTGCTCCAGAACAACTTCCCAATTGCCCAGTATTTTGCCAGACCATGCAGACTAACCAATTGTAATGCGCGCTGTGTATCTTTAAGAGGAGTTTGTAATTCCCAATGCGCTAGGAGCATTCCTTATCTCAAAGGGAACGTTAGATGCTCTTTCTCCAAATTTGCCTATCAGCTGCCAGCAGAACGGGTTTAAAAGAAGGTATATAGGCTATTCTGCAGCATTCTCAGACTTGTGGAATTTTCGAAAAGGCTACCTGCTATTTCCAATAATATTTATACTCTCTAAGAAATCTTACGGATATTACGTTGACAGTATGTAGGGGAATGCCTGTATCGATCCCATTTTTTAAGGTCTTCCTTTAATGCCCCACAACAAACCAACAAAAGCCACACACGCTGAGCAGAGCACCTTAGAAAATTAAGACCTCAATTTTTAATAATAATAATAATAATAATAATAATAATAATAATAATAATAATAATAATAATAATAATAATAATAATAATAATAATTTGTTACAGATACAGCTACCTCCCAAAGTTTTTATGCATCTAAACATTATAATTAGTCTGAGGGAAGCTCTTCAGCCAAAGAGAATTAACTAGAGTGGGAGGTACAAATTACTTTCAGCTTATTCTTTAAAAACACTGGGTTTTAGTTTCCCTTAAATAAAGGCTAGTGGCTAGCAAATGGACAGCAAACATATGCCCATGGTCTCTCCCCCCCCCCTCAAAAAAAAAACCACTTAAGAACATGAGAGGTTGGCTGGTATTGATCAGACAAAACCCAAATCCATGGCCAATAACTCCACTTCAGAAAAATGCAGACCACCTTTGAAAACAAAGCAATTCAGAGCTACAGTCTGAGGTGAAACTCCCCCCACCATGTCCTTCCCCCGCCCCCCCAAGAAGTCAATATACTTTTTTCAGCTCCCAGGAGAAGGAGGCCATTTTCAGATGGACAATGGCACAATGCCTTTACCCATCGTCTCTGAGTTAATTGTTAGTTGTTAATTAACACTGGTGAACTGTCCTGTTAGAAACTTCCTAACGCTGAGGGCAATTAACCAGTGGAACGGCTTTGCCTTCAGAAGTTGTGGGTGCTTCATCTCTGGAGGTTTTTAAGAAGAGACTGAACAGCCACTTGTTTGGAATGGTATGGGGGTCTCTTGCTTGATCAGGGGGTTGGACTAGGAGACCTTCCAAGGTCCCTTCCAGCTCTATTCTGATTAATCACAGGGATTTTAGTGTGGCATTGAAGGAACTTATCAAAAGCTACTGTCTTTTAGTACAGGGGCCTCCAACCTTGGCAACTTTAAGACTTATGGACTTCAATTCCCAGAGATCCTCGGAGTTGAAGTCCACAAGTGTTAAAGTTGCCAAGGTTAGAGACCCCTGTTTTAGTATATTCTCTGTCCTTGGCACATTAGGGCTACCGACGGCTATTAGTACCGTGTTTCCCCCAAAATAAGACTCTGTCTTATAGATATAGATATATATGTCACAAAAAAGGCACCAGGTCTTATTTTCGAGGGAAGTCATCCACTGACTAACCTCACTTGCATGCATCACCCCTGGCCTCCTTTTCGCTGTCAGAGGCCTTCAGGAACTTCTTCTACTGTGGCCAGCAAGACTTTCCTGAAGCCAATAACAGAGCTTTGGATCGATCAGCTACAGAGGCCTTCAGGAAAGCCTTGCCGGCTGCAGAAGAAATGGGCCGGCAAGGCAGGTGTCGGAGTGTGCGAGGCCTGGCTACAACTGTCCAAAGGTAAGTAGTAGGGCAGCTCCACCACCCACATCCCCATCCTAGCTTAATTTTTACCCATGCATTCTGGAGTGGGTGGGATCTTAATTAGGGCTTATTTTGGGGGTAGGGCTCATATTGGGCGCATGAGTAAAAATCAAATGACTTACTTTCAGGGTAGGTCATATTTTGGGGGAAACAGG